GTAAAAGTGGCAGTAAAAGGGGCAGTAAAAGTGGCAGTAAAAGTGGCAGTAAAAGTGGCAGTAAAAGGGGCAGTAAAAGTGGCAGTAAAAGTGGCAGTAAAAGTGGCAGTAAAAGTGGCAGTAAAAGTGGCACTAAAAGTGGCACTAAAATAAAAAAGATGTGTGTCCCTTATAGGGCTCCGTACTACCTTAATCTCCAGCGCATTAAAATAAACAATTTTTTTGTTGTAATTCGTTACGGGCCAGAGTCACGAAACAAGACAGCTGAGTATGGTCTTCTGTGTTCCTACAACTTCTTGTTTGTTAATCAGTCGTAGGTCAAAATATGTCAATTTTGCGATTGGTATCATCTCCATTCCATTTCCTCTTCTATTATGGTTTATTTTTTGAGTTATTTTTAAATTGACGTTTCTGGGGACATTGTATATAACAGAAATGTTTTCGCTCCTTTCAAAACAAGGAATAGGCCACCACGCATTTGTACGACAAAGAGTATTTACCCACTGACAAGGTCTGTCCCAGCTAAATGAGAAAAACCTGCATTTATGAATGAGGCGCAGTAATCCACACATGAAATTCAAAGTTGCGAGGATATAGATGTAAAACTAACGAATAACATAGAGGTGGTGGCAGGTGTTTCAATAACGTTTTCTATTAACGGCTTCCGATGGTGTTCTCTCAGTGTCCGGAAAAGGGGCTGTAAGGCAAAACACAAACACCCGACGGCATTGGTAGACCGCCAGAAACCAGCTTTTGTCAAAACGCCCGTAGAAGGATGGCGTGCTCTCCTACGCGTTTCTATTGCTGAGTGTTTGAACACTTGCAACACAAACTAGATGTTTAGCAGAAAGGCGTCCGCATTTTACAGTCGCTCCATGAGTGAAAGTGACAAGTAGTAGTAGTAGTAGTAGTAGTAGTAGTAGTAGTAGTAGTAGTGAACTTTATTTATGTGTCGTGAAAACCTAGCGCATAGCCTTAATTGGGGACACAGGGTAAAAGCTTTAAAAATAAGAAATCTGGAACCTATTTACAGAATTATTTACCTAACCTATTAACAGTTAAAATTATTTATCAAAATTAAGTTACAGCCGATTCTTGACATGATTATGCAAGGCGACTGCTTGGTACGTGCTCACTAAAACAAACAACAACATTCCCATTATTCAGGCTTATCTTCCTCTGTTGATTTATCCAAACCAGTTTAATTAATAATGGCTTCATTTATAATTTATGCTGCTTATCTAACTGAAGGATGTGTCATGTGAAGACGGATACGCACTTTCTAACTTCCTCCAGGGTTAGCCAAACATATCTTACCAAATTTGAATATAGTTCCTAAAAGCTAGGTTGACTATATTACCGAATGAAGGATAGAAGTTTCTAAAGAAACTGTGGTGTCACGTCGGAGAGTCAGCTGAGGTGATCAGTAATGTTGATCGGCCACCGTATAGAGTTTTAAAACTGACGTTTAGTCCTTCGTTATTCGCTCTAACGAGGGGCTTACGTTCAAAATGTTAGCTTTGAAATTCTTTACGGTAGCTAATTTACATTATCAATTCGGTTGTTAAAACCAAAATTATTGTATGTTTTCCCCTGCATCACCTTACGCTTATTGCGTTTAGTTATGTAATAGAAACTCGTTCGGGGCATGTGATACGCGTCAATTGCGGACACTCCATTCACGACAGAATTAATTAGCTGACACATAACATTTACATCAACCACTGCTAAGGACTTATAAGAAATTAAATTTATTGAAAATGAACTGCAGTTCTCCTGAATAACTTTCTTCTCTCTCCTTAAATGATGCAGAATCACAGAAAACAAAGCCGCAAGATTTTACAAGGGAAACGGGTTGTTAACATTAAGGGTTATAGGGCTAAAGTTGTGGTGCTATCATTCTAGAATATTGCGAACTCAATATGGTAATGTTTTTTTCTAATTTGCCGATAATAGTATTATAGCCCGGTGGCCAACGAATTTTCGTAAGATCAGTCGGTAGAGATTTGCGAATTGACCCAATGTTAACCGGTGAAACAGCCGTCATTCTTTTTATCTGGGGGGTGGAGAGGGGAAGAGGTGGGGGTGACTAGTGGGGAGATTCAAGCCAGAGGAGGTAAACACGAGGCGAGCGTGAAGGCCAAGCGTGACAGGTGGAGCGTGAAAAATGAGGCACGATGGGATTGGAAACGAATCTCTTTTTCCACCGTTATGACTGTCTTTAACACCACAACGGCGTTTTTATTAAAAAAGAATCATTTTTCGGTAACGGTCTTCCTAGCGGTGCAGCATTTCAAATTGGTGACCAGTGGTGCAGTGTATTCGGCACAAACTAAACATCCAAGAAAACACCGAAGTTGATCAACCCGCAGTTTCTGCCAGTGTTTAACGGTGTGCTCCGTTTGATCTAAGGATTAATGCAAACTGCAATTCGTATTGGTGTACACGGTGAAATAATTGAAAAAAGGTTCTTTGCGGGACGGACACTGTGTTTAATTCTGAATTAATTTGGATCGTGTGTGCGCTACAATCAACCCTGTTTTCTTCAATTTTCCTCAAACATTCTCGGTGCTTTCTCAGGGCCCTCGGAAAATCTTAACAAGGAGGGCGAGGGAACAAAACATTATCATTCTCCCTGTTAATTCTGTGCCTTCTTATTCCGTGCTGTCGTCCGGTATAAGATCAATTATTCATTAATCATTATTCATTAATCATGTATTACCCCCGTGAACTGCAGAGAGTGACCATCAAAGTTAAGTGTCGTGCCAAATACACAACACAGGGATTTTGCCATTTGTTGTAAGTTACAAACCAGAACATTTTTTCTACGTCTTCTTCACCGTGTTCGAAAAAATCCAGGAGAACAGTATATTGATTGAAAGTTTCACTGATGTGGGTGGACAGTACGCAGTTCTGATTAATAACGGAATTTAATTTGAATGAATCAGAATGGCCAGCCAGTTTGCCAACCACGAATATGTTTAAGACTCGAAACTTTATTCCCTAAGATGGTTGATCGCCCAGTCAAGAATTTGAATTTATAAGAGCAAGAAATGTGTACGTCAGTTGAAATTATTATGATTTCATCTGAAAAGCAACGATTTTTGTCGTAAGTTTAATGTAACTTCCCACCTTCAGATGCCGAAAAATCATTTTTTCTTTTATTTGAAGAAACTGAAGTAAAACATTTTACCTCACGTTTCTGAATAAAAAATTAAAAATCTGCAAAAGCGTCCGAGTTATTTAGAAAAAAGTGTTTTTCTAACCTTTTCTAACGTGTTTTTTCTAACCTGTTGCGAGCGTTTGCACACATCGGCTAACATCGCGCAACAAGAGACAACAATGTTGGCCCAACAATGTTGCCTGTTGTTGCAAGCGTTTGCACGGGCCTTTACCCGGGCGAGCCCCCTGGGGGAATTTTCGCGGCAACAGCTCCTCTTCTTATTATTTGCATATTTTGTTGTCTAAAGAAGAAAGAAGAGTACCATTTTGTCAAGAAGAGAAAAAAATCCTTAGTAAAAGCAACTGGTACTGGCGTCCAGAATTTGCACAAAGAAGTCGCCGTCAAACCAAATTGTATCATATATTAAGTTAAAAACGAGGTTTCCTTTTATTTATGCAACCAGCCTTCATACAAAAACATTTACAATCGCCTCGAATCGTACTTTTGAAAGCTGTCTGTCGATTCGTTGTCTTGTTTCTCAGCACATTATCCGGTTTTTCCATTTTTACCGCAGGTGTTGTCCTCCTAAACACCTCACTGAGCGATCGAGATGTAGCAAATGTGTCTGCAATGCGTCACTTTTCCCAGGAAATCTTAATCTATTGTCATTGACGAAAGGATGTCCCGTTGTCTCATCGGTTTGCAGTTTCAGAAGGCGAGATAATCTCCTGGTGTGGCGCTAGTTGTTTACAAACCTTTAGGAGATAAAATCTTGCATTTGATTTTGAGAGGAATACATCCATTTTGAGCGAATTTATAGGGTATGTAGATTTGACCGATTTTCGTGAAATTTTTTCAAACTTTTCCAGGGACAATGAAAAACTAAGGGGCGTCGGGAAATGTTGATACTTAAATATTTTTCATGTGGCGTCTACTTACGCAACACGTCTCGCATATTTTGCGCTACTCTAAGGCCCTGTTTACAAGCAGGTAGGGTAACCCTACTGCTAGGGTTACCCTGGCAGGAGGGTTACCCTAACGCTCCCACATTTCCTCTTTTTTTCATCGATGTGTTTACAAGGCAGCTAGAGTTACCCTAGCACTAGGGTAACCCTAGCTGAGCGCTAGGGTAACCCTAGCTGCCTTGTAAACGCTCTGGTGGGGATAACTCGCCTACCCGGGACAACTTTTTACTTGTTTCCAAACCCTTTGAACAATGATAACAGTGCGTGCGGTTACCAAGCATAGGTAAGTTGTCCCGGGTGGTAGGGTAACCCTACCTGTGAAATTTTGCTTGTGAACCTGGGCTATCTTTGACCCGCCTGCTAGGGTAACCCTAGCACAAGGGTTACCCTCCTTGCTTGTAAACAGGGCCTAACTTTAGATGCCGATATCTAGACAGCCAAACAGAATATCGGAAAAACCTCTCATACTTTTGTTTATTGATGCTTTGTGAATAAGACTGTGCAGCCATTTTGCTCGTGCTGCGGGATCCGATACCCGATAAATTCAACAGAAGGACCTTCAGTCGTTTCACGCCTTACTAACTCCTGACGCTTTTAAATAAAAAAAACATCGTTTGAATTATATTTTATTCTGATGTATAGTTTAGTAGGATTTTCTTTAAACTAGCGCGCGTACAAATTTTTTTCCCGAAGGACACCCGCGAAGGTGAACCTTGAGGTCGTTGAATGGTGGGTGGGCGCGGGCGAACTCATAACTGAGGATGATCTGGTTCATTAGATGGAGCTAATTCGTCTTGGTTGGGCGAACTTTCATGGAAAAATAATTTGGATATATCAACAAAGTTGAAATGGTAAACTGGCCACCGTAACGATTACAAAAGCTGACGTTTCGAGCGTTAGCCCTTCGTCGTTGCAAGTTTTCATAGAGAAAACCTGCAACGAGTCGAAACCTCCAGAAGTCCTTGAGTCAGCTTACTTTCCCTCCTGTGGCTACAATGCCCTGGGAAGGCGGGATATTGATGGTGATAAAAAGAAAATGCAAGAAAGAAAAATCGAGTAACAAAGCAGCTTAAACCACAAGCATGGTGGGTAAAGAAAAATAGCAAACAAAAGCAGTGACGTCACTGAGCGCGCTCTGCCTAGTGATTCTGTTTTATGCAGCTCAACTCTTAGTGATTGATTAAGATCGGAACCCAGGCGACAGAACCATCAAACTGCTAAGAAAGAAACAGGAAGTCTTCTATCAATGTCACGAAACAAAAAAAAACTTTGAACAAAAACAGATCTATCTTTGCGGATGAAAGCATCAAAAGAACGACAATATAAAATGAAATTCTGAAATTTCCTTCGCAATTCCGCGCATGTTGATAATCGCGTGCGTTGATTTTGTATAGTCTTCCTCTCTCTTTTTTCAGCCTTATATGACTGAAATAAGTAACTGAGAAGGTCCAAACGAAGTAATGTGAGACAAAGCATCTTGGGCTTGTTAACAAAAGTCTGAGAAAGGCACTCTGATAATAATAATAATAATTAATGCAAACAAAAGTAGTCTATTCAATACGCCTGAGTTCTCTCAATATTGCCAAACTTAGAGTACCACACCAGTCAAATCAGGGCTGTACCGTGAAGCTGAAGACAACTTTTAATAGGTGATAATTTCTTAAATGAAACCTTATGCAACAATTCCGTTTTTGACGCGATTCCAGCAGAGGGAAACTGTTTGAAATCTTGTTCGTGATCTAGATCTAGAGTTTTTCGCAGAATATTGGAAGCTATCAATAATGTATATCACCTAAGATAGATAGATAATTACACTTTCGAACAAGACATCACCTTAATAATAAGCGAACCAAAATAAAATGAGAGTTATAAATTAAAATAGCTCAAGCGGGATTGTTCATTTCGATTTCAGTTTTTAAAAAGCTACCTCTTCGACTTTGCGACAAAAACTACCAAGGTCTCTGCTTTTGCAAGCATTTTCATAGACGCCTTACGGCTAAGATGAATATAATTTTAACAACCCAAAGTCAATAAATCCCTTGATTAAAATTAAAACAATACAACCTACATTGTTTGGTGACTGAAAAATTCAAGCTTTTTTTTCTGCGGATATTGTTTTCAACGTAACTTGGAAGCGTTTCTTAACAGTTTTGAACGCTATTTATTTTTCTGCTATTCGCTTTTAGTCTACAATAAAAGTAATGAAGTCCACCTCTTTCAAAGTCTCGGTAGTAGGCTGAGAAAGGCAGCTGCTACAGAGGAACAGAAAAGGAAATACCGTTAAATATTTATGGCGTCTTAACCAATCAAATTGCTGCAAATTGACGTAGATGGAATGTTTTAACACGTTTAATGGACTGGAGAAAAGAGGAACAGAAATAGAAGTCGTAAATTCGAGCTTGTCTTGTCGAAATTTGCAACTTAACAGCTTAAGATTTAGAAAGTTATTCAACGAGACTGCCTTATCCTCATAATGAGGAAGTGAAGGAAGATGAATTTTGCATCTTTCAGTTTGTACTGCATCGTTTTCGTTAGTACGGTAAGTTTTGGTAATATCAGTTTTGCAGTTGCCGTGCGACTTTGTTGACGATGGAAGTCATTATTATGTAGAGGAACTGATCGAAAAAATCCTCTCTATAATCTATTGTGTTTGCAGTTTGTCAGATTTTCCTTCGCTTTTGGTAACTCGCTGGATCATTCTTCAGGTAGGTTTAACTCTTACACCTTAAAAAAATAATAAACAATAACCTGAAGAAGTTTTCAGTCCTTTTTTCTCTCTGAACAAATTGGTATTTTGTTGCCGGGACTCAGTTGGTGGTGTTGCAAAGCCGACCTAAATGCGATTCCTCGGACATTGTTCTAAAATAAGTCTAAGATTCTTAACACCTTTTTCTTGACTCTTCAATTTTATTTTAACGAACAGAAAATCTAGATTTTTAAATTTACTTACAACTGCAATGCCGCAACATCAAACAGCAACTCGTGAGAACAAATTACGCAATAGTAGTTGAACTTTACAGCCCAAAACTGTGTTTTTGATACGTGCAAAACAGCCCCGAATCAGTAGCCTCACAACGTTTACTTTAGATAAGAAATGATTTTAAAAAGTGTCAGTCACACGGACATTAGCATTAAATTTATTGAATCGTTGTTAAATGAAAGCTAAATAAACGGACTTCTTGGTTCCCGATGGCTTTGCGACTTTATTATTTTAAACTATCGGACAATAAAATCATATTGTATATTCGGTAACGAAGAAAATTAATTGGTGCGTAACAATTTTTGGGTGATATTTATCCGACGCATGGAAAACAACGCCGATTGAACATTAACTGAACAAGGTGCCGAAAATACGTTTTTTTTCTTTGCTTCTTAGCTTTGGAGTACAGGGTATCATTTATAAAACGAGATCATGCCATCTGTTTACGTCCTTTGGTCAACAAATCCATAGATTATGCGCCTTTTAACTTTCGTATTTTGCAGTGCAGTTAACCAACGCGTTTATTCCAACGCTTGCAGCTTTCCTTGCTACAAACAAAGTATTATCAAAACGAACCGTCTCACCAAAAATCTAACTGTTTGGTTTTACTCGTCATAGCAACTCCCTAATTTCGAATTATTTTATGCTCATAAGAAAATCTCACCCAAATTTTGCTGTAATACAATGAACTAAACGAAAATAAAGGAAATTAAAGAAGAAACAGCCCTTTGCCGAGATAATATCGCCAAAATCTAGCTGATTTCGGCACTTTTTCCGCTTGCAGTCAGCGCAGGCGTTCCTCCTATTCAACGTTAGCTGTGCTGTCTCATATCGCTTGGCTAAGGTGCCGTGTTTTGGCTTGTTAATCAATATTCTTGGCCTTGTTGTAGACTCTTTCGATGAAAAGAGTGTCGCAAATATTCAGAATTAGTCTTCTATGGATTTTAATATGATACTCTGAACTACACGACGTAATATTAGCGTGCAAGCTTTGGGAAACATTCGGATCAGAACTTTGATGCATAGATTTTTTGAGGCGCTGCAGAACAGATTGTTGTTATTCACTTTTTAAGCTAAAAAATGTTTTAAAAAAATTTTTTATGCAGTGTTCCTTGTTTTTGGGAAGATTCTCTGACCTAATTAAACCTTATAACATGAAAGATCATTTAACATGCGAAGGAACAAGTGAAATGATATTTAACAGGTGGTCGTATTCACATATCACAGATTAGGACGGTTAACGTTTCCCTGAGGATGGAACAACAACTTGGAATTTAACCAAAAACTCTTAAAAATAACCTTTTACGTCAAATTTAAGGTCCAAAAACTAATTCCTTTTTGAAAATATAAACCATTAATCAGCATTTTTACCCTCACAGCTGTTGTAATCTAGATTCAGCGTTGGTGTGCAGTGTCACGGTTTTATGGCGCAGATAACCAGACTAAAGAGAAGTGTTATATAAGTGTTTCAAATATATTCCTGAGCATATTTCATTTCAAAGAGGTATAAGGATAAAGTTCTTGTCGATGCTGAAAGACTGGATTAAAATCAAACAACGATACACTCATATATATGACAAGAAGACTAATTAACGGGACAATGTTAGTTACTGAAATGGAAACCTTCAAAATAGACGCTAGCTAGCGCTATTAGAAACGAAACAATGTTCTCACTGAAAGCTTACTTTTTCTTACTTCGGCTAAGTTCTTTTCGATCTCAGGCTGTCGAAGAATGTTCTAATTTTTTCCATCTTTTTCTGAAAAAAATTATGCGAAAACATGTAAATAATCGTAATAATTGCTCATATCTCGAAGGAACGGTGCCAAAGGAGCCGGTGTTCAATGTTTTCTGGTTTTATGATCTATTTCAGTTTATTGAAGCAATTCCTGTCTTTTAGTTGTAATAACATTACCCATTCATGTAAGACACTCATGTAACGTCCCTGTTTCAGGATGAACTGGATGCAAAAGTCGACGTAATTTAAATAATTTCATAATCTATGAAATTTTGCCAAGCGTTTTTGTTTTTTTTACTGAAACTTCTAATTTCTACAAAATAGTCGGCTCCACTCAAAGTTGCTTGGATATTAATGCAATTTACAGCGGTTTCCAGCTGTTTTCTTGTTTTGATGAAAATCAACTTTGAGTTAACACTCTTTAACGTATATTTGAGGAACAAAAGTTGTTTTGGAAACGTGAGGCCGGTGATCTCACTAAGATAAAGAACGCATGAATGGGGCGATTTTATGACGAAGATGCGAATTTTCAAAACGACAATAACTTGATCTAACAATAATTATTTTTGATGATAATGCAGACAAAGAAAAACAAATGCAGACAAAGAAACACCAACTGCAAAATGAAAAGGTAGCTCCTTATGGTTCAAATTGCACAAAGCTGGCTTGAAAGATTGATATTCGGGTTGAGTGAAATTAATTCGGGTTCACGGCACAAGACAACTTTGAAGACTGCGATACATCATGTCACTTTCAATTACAGCTTTCTCGGCTACGTGAATATATATATATAAAAAAAAATTGTTGCTAGAGCAAAGGCATCAGTGTTTCGAGAAACTTCAGTCCCTCTTAGAATATTTTCCGCTTACAAAAAACCATTTTTTTTTTTTAATTCATCCAGCTAGAAGAGCGTTTCCGAAAAGGTTCCTGAGATTCAGCGAACTATTTTAGGTTGGTGGTGCGAACGGCAGGCGTAATTTTAGAATAAAACCGTGACTTGTCGTTTTCAGTTCCGGCGCAGTTAGGACCAATACAACACAAATGGGTTCAAGTACAAAAATTACGTGCCTAATGTCACTTAAGTGTGAGCCTCACAGAATCTATTTTTGCTACGTGGGAGTTGAGGCTCGAATTATAGTCCGGGAAGTAGGGGGATAGTAGGGGATGGGGGTGAAGGCTGCTTTCCCTACCCTCCAGGAGGTAAAATTTGTGGACCCTTATGCTTGATTTTAAAATTTGAAATGACAGTCGCTAAATTTCTCACGATGCCTTTTCAAGGAAATCAAGATGATCGACCTTAAAAATGACAGAGAGCTATTGCCGTATTTGTTACGCAAATGGATTCAATTTTCATGTAATTTATTTGTAAACATTCAGAAATTTGGTGTTCCTACTTGTTACACCTCAGAGGTGTAATGCATTCACGCCCACGCCCGTTCAACAAGCCCCTCGTACCTTACAGAAATGTTATCCATTCACTTACACTGAAACGGTAAATAAATTCTCCCCTCCAGGATTTCAGCATATATTTATCAATCGGTTACTCTCGTATTTTCTTTCTATAGATGTGGTCAGCATTCTCAATGTCACCGTGAAATCTGTTGGAACAAATGATGGAGGCGAGAAGCTGGCTTATATTTGGGTCAACAACAAAAACTATGCACCACAAACCAAAGGATATAATGTCGCTGTCTTTGATGTCCTATCAGGTAGTAATTCTTAGCTATGTTCCAAAGTGAAAATATCGCAATACAAAAAAAAAATCTTTGAAACTTCTTTTTCTCCAGTTTCGTCAATCGTGGTTCATCCACAGTTTAGGACACGATTTATTGCTTTTGTTTGTGATAGGTTCCTTTTCGAGAAATAAAGTGGTCAGGAATATTAGCCTCTCTTCCAACATGAGGCTTCGTAACTCAGTTGATGGTAGCCCAAAACTAGCTACTAAGAGGGTTATCTAGCTATATTCCAGGGGCTATATTCCAGGGGCTATATTCCAGGGGCTATATTCCAGGGGCTATATTCCAGGGGCTCCGTTTCAATATGTTTTTTCCTTTCTTCCATACAGGTCGTTTCCTCACATCGTCTGCATTCGACTGCGCAGCGAAGCAAGACGAGTGTGACAGGCTGGGTGAGTTCCTGAGGCGCTTACCTCAGGATGTTGTGGTGCTGATGGCAATACAGCTCTCTGCCGTGGCTATCACCACGCTTCCAGTGAGTGACATGATCGACGTTGGTGCACAGAACGCTGGCAGCGTTCAAGGGCACAATTCTCACGCAGTTATTGGATACAAAGGAAAAAAAAATGTGTCTTGGACAAATGCAGCTACGAATGGGGATAGCGCAGGGCCGACTGAAATATCATCAAGCATTCCAATAAACTGTTCCTATTTATCGGAAGGTAAATGAGTATTTAACGTGTAAAAAAGGTGTAATTTTTCGCATATTCAGTTGAGGTGAGGCGCGCGCGAGGGAACTGACAAGACCGAGAAGTCACGCGCGCGGAAAGGGGTGCAAGATGAAAGACAGCTGTGCACACTCCATTGTTTTATGTTGTTCCGATGTTTAAACATCATCGTTATCATTATGATTCTTTACTTACTTACACTGGCATCATGTTTCCTTTGGTTGACACTAATAGCATTCAGAAAACCTTCATTTCAGTTTTAAAAGGTGCTTAAAATGAATGGAAAACAAAAGAAATCTGTAGACGAAATGTAAACTTGGATGGAAAAGAAAAAGGGAGACGCTTTACTGTCGATTTTTTTGGCGGTCAAATTGAAGTCCTTGGCAAGAACGTTCCATAAACTTCTGGAATATTTTTGGTTGTTTTGCTTAATTGCTAAAAATGTTTCGCCTTTTATCGCCTTTGTAGCGATGCTAGGTTCCTTCCTTCGAGCTTAAGAAATCGGTTTGGGTGGGACGAAGCGTCTTACAATATTACTGTCCCCTGGAGGAGATGTTGGGCAATTGCTGAAATCCCCTTGACAGTTTGTCTAGTTTCTCAGTTTGTCTGTTGGTACTCATATGAACCCCTTGGTTACGAGAGGCATTATTAGGATAACCAAGCGTAGTTCAGTGCTCTAACTATTGACTCTTTACATCGCCACCATCAGAATGCATATTTCCGTGACCTTAATGTGCGAATAGGGTGACATTGTAAGGAGAAATTAGATGCTAGTCACTTTTAGGGCTCAAAGAGTTGAGGAACATGAGGGGAGGGGGTAAGGAGAAATTAGATGCTAGTCACTCTTAGGGGGCAAAGAGTTGAGGAACATGGGGGGAGGGGGTAAGGAGAAATTAGATGCTAGTAACTCTTAGGGGTCAAAGAGTTGAGGAACATGGGGGGAGGGGGTAAGGAGAAATTAGATGCTAGT